TCGTATTTTATACGCGCGTTTCTCCTTTCGGAGAGATCTTCCCCGTCGAACGCGAGAGAGGAACGGCCGCCGGAAAGGTATCGCGAGCGATCTCGGCTTAGCCGCCTCTTCTGCATCCCAAAGGACTTCCGGTTAACCGCTACCGGCACAAGAATCCCGACGATGCAACGTCGCGTCTCGACGGCCTCCGGTTTTTCTTTTGTGCAAATGAACCTATCAACGTCCACGCGAGACGTGATCCTTAATTGCTCGGTTAGCGGAATGCTGATAGAGGCTTGAATGAAAGTCTCGATGACCCTTTAATTCGCGAATTTCTGTCTCCAGACATAATCTTTGACCATGTTTTCCAAGTATTTTACTTGCGTAAAAGTCTAAGTATTAACACAGCATTCAGCACTGCTAGTAAAAGAAAATATATAAAAAAGAGAAACTGTAATTACAGAAATGGTCACATATTGTTTAGTAAAAATGACAAACACCTAGCAACAGTCTTTCACACTTAAACGACCAACTTTTCCAACCGACTCTCGCACATTCTCAAAATTCATTTCAACATTGAACGAACGATCCTCCACTTGGACGTCAGTTCAATCTACGTATCAATTACCTACCGTACCCGAAGAAAAAACTCTGAATCTCTAAATCCTGCTGGAAGTGATCCTTTCGATCGAGGCTCATTCCTCGATTTCGCAGCGGAGGTCTCGTCTAAGATCTAGATCGCTCCAGATTCTCCCGCAGCGCGAATCAAGCGGGCAACGTCGATCTCCGGATGGCTGACCGGCAACCGAGAGGTTCGTCGATATTTCACTCGGCGAGAGGCCGCGAGCTGGGGCAAAATCGTCCTGCGTGCGCCAGCGTTGGCCAACTCTCATGCATAGAGTCATGACGGGTCTAAGCGATTGCTTATTGCTGGTGCAACCACAGACTGACGCACTGGCTCGAGTCTCGCCCGTTTGTTATCCCGGATCCCCGTGCTCTACATGGTTCCGCAGACGTTACGCTGACGTAGGACATTATCCAAGTGTCTGGAATCGATTTTGCTCCGGTTGAAATATGGGGTGGCCTGGAAAAACGACGGAGGATTTTCAACGGGAAGATGGATGAATGTGAAGTGTTTTAGGATGATCCGGAATAATGGATCTCGGGTTCGAAGGTTCGCCGAGCTTTTTTTTATCTCTCGTGTACTGAAACGTCTATCTAAAATGAATCTGCGAAACCGTGGTAACGAAGATGGGGTAGATTTTCTTGAGGATTTTTTCAGAGGTGATTGGAAAGTTAGAGTAGCGAAGATGGGGAAGATTTAAAATTGGAATGTTCAAATGAAAAGTAAATATTCGATACACATTCTGTGGGAGTAATAAGTCAAAATGTTAGAGGTGCAAATTTTATCATTGCGATCTAATATTTCATTCTTTATCATTTCTCCCGAGGTCAGTCGTACTGACAAATTGATTTAAACATAGAAACCTTCCTTGATGAAATTACCTGCACAGGAAGCCTTGGAATTTTAAATTAAATCTTCTAATATTTTAGGCTTCTTAGAATCAACGATTGAAAATTCCCAGTTTCCTCCAACACGATGTACATTTCATTGGGAAATAAACGATTCGTTTCTAACAATGTAGAAGATGATACAATGGTAGAACGTGTACGGAACATAATCTCTCCGTCGATTCCAGAAATTGTCTAGCAAGAAAATGGAGTATCTCGAAAGAAACCACATCTAAACTCCGTAATATCCCGATAACTCTCATTCTTCTTGCCGGACCCTGTATTTATAGGAGAACAAAACCGAACACTTAGGTAATATTCCCCGGTGTGCCGGGCTAGAGATAAACAGAGATCGCTGGTGAATGCGATCCGTGTTCGGTCCATGTACGTGCTCCAGGCTCATGGTTCGCCAAGCCGACAAATCGACTCGGACAGAACCGCGATTTTTCAGGGTGTACCAGTTTTTTCGATACGATACCTACCGCGCGCGCGCGCGCGCGCTCGGAACGCGGCTCCTTATGTCGCGTATAACATTACCGCGTGAAATGAATGATTCTCGGTCCGCGGGACCGCTGGTACCGTAAGTTACCGACATTTTTCAACAAAACCTATCTCGATGAATTTAGAGCAGAAATGGATGTTAAACCCTTTCCAGCTGCGAATACCTACTTCGAGTCCTGGCATGAGCTACAGTCGATGTTTTCTTAGTTCTAACGTGTGCAAGATCGATCGTATTATCGGAAGATTAGAATAATTATGCGCAAGTGCTTGTTTGTTCGTGTATTCGTTTTTTATGGTTAATGATAATTTTAGTACAACTGTACTTGGGTATATTATGTAACGATGACAATCGAATGGAACTTATATGTGGATTCACACATTTGTGCGGTGCTACTTTCTACGTTAACTGGCAAAACACCAAGTCCTCCTTAAAGCTATTCCTGGGTATTACAATTACAAATGCAACCTCTGACCTGAGCCTAACTGTCACGTCAAAGAAGTAGAAGCCAGGATATAGCTTGATAAAATTAACGAAGAGGCAAAGTAAACATGTTTTCGGGTATCGAGATGATCGAATCGACAGAAATATGTGCACTTCCTTTTTTTACCTATTCTCTCGCCTACTTCCATTAATCTCATCTCCATATGTGAAAGGGTTAAACTGTGTTTCTCTCTCTCTCTCTTCACACTGTCTCGTTTCCACATATGAAAGGGTTAAATTATTTTTCTCTCCCTCTTCTCACATCATCTTGTCACCATATGTGACAGGGTTAAATTATTTCTCTCTCTCTCTCCTCACCATGTACGAAAGGGTTAAGCTCTTTTCCTCTCTCTTCTCGCACCATTTCGTCTCTGTCTACGAAAGGGTTAAACCGTTCCAACGAAACTAACCTTACGAATCCTTCTGTCCAGCAACGTTCGAGTTTCGCGTGTTACGTAAAATGATTATCGGCCGGTGAGAACGTGGTATACGAAGGCATGCTCGATTAGCATCGAGGCTCGCGCGAAAACTACGCGAGAGAGTCACGTGGAACGTAAGAACGGCGCAGAAGAGGGACACGGACGCGAGAAGGTAGCGGCGACGATGATCGCGTGCGATCCGGACGTGGAAGGAACGTTCGACCTGGCAAGGTCAGCCGCGTGGGCAGGTATCCGTAACTCGACGATTTTGCAACGCTCTCGCGCTTCCTGCTGCAATTGATTAATGGCGGCCGCGGCGAGCCGCGTTATATATACCCGCTCGACCGTGTCCCGTGCCTGTTTGCTCAGTGTAATCGAAGCGTGGCCGATGATCCTCAAGGTTGACCATGGATAAGCTGCTGGATTCCCATGGTCTCTTGCCTCGTTCCACAGTTTCAACGGATACAGTGGTTTTCTTGATTGATCTATGGGATGGGCACACGATGCAACGACTTTTCTATTATTCTTCTTAACTACTTCTTGTCCACTCGTAGATTTTTATCTTAGCTATCGGAGATGTATCAAGTTGAAATAGCTTGTCGTCGGACAAGTGAAATCTACGGCTTGTTCCTTGGGAATATTCAAAATAAAATTGACCAACATAAGGGACCTTGTGAATCAATGGTTAAATGAGTTAAGCCTTGTTATGCTTTCTGTAGAAATGGTCACTGAATGAAGGAGTGTTCTGAGAGATCGATAAAATTCCTATTGCAATATCGCAATAAAATAATATACAAATTATCCAGCATTATAAAATTAGAAGTAAAAAGTGAGAAATTGAATTAGAACCAAAAGAAGAACACAACTCGGAACAAGTTTCCATACCTCGTCCCAAAATTACCCACAGTCACCGCTAATGATTTCCCTGTTCGCAGAAAAAGAAGACAGGACACAGGAAGCAAGGGTTGCAGAAGAAAATCACACAGAGGCACTTTTTATAGATTAAACAAAAATATTTACTTTCGCGATACGTTTAGGTACTGGCCGCTCGTGTTCACCGTTTTACATGCTATTATGTACAAATAAAAAAAAAAAAGAGAAAGAAGAACGATAAAAAGAGTTCGGAAGAAGAGAACATGAGTAAAAAAAAAAAATAAAAAGAAACGTTGGCCCGTTACGCCAGCCGAGAGAGGTTCGTACATCAAGCGGAAGCATAGAAGCGATACTCTGATTCGCAGAGACGAGTCTCTCTCTCTCTCTCTCTCTTCTCTTCTCTTGCCTCCCGATTACACGCACAGTTTTCCTCCTCCCATCTCCCCCCTCCGGTTGCTTATTTACAAGATGCACGTTTATTTTATACACCGACGTAACGTCACTTCTCTCGTTCACCTTTATTAACTGGCCTCTCGTCGTGACATGTGGTCGCGGATGCGCGATCATCGTTTCCGATCGTCTTTTGCTCGTCGCGCGTCTCCGCGCCCACACGTCTCGCTATGTACAAGGAAAAGAAAAAACAAGACGAAGGAGGACACGATCCACGACGGATCGCGTACATACACGTAGAGAATAAGATCCTAAAGCGGTCCGTTCCAAGTATACAATACATATACAATATAGAATATTTTATTTTCTCTCTTATTTTACTCGTTCACGTTTTTCTCGTTTTCAATTTCCTTTCTTTCACTCCAGCACGCATGGATACGCGATACAATAATCAGACTCCATGTACCGGTGTGCAAGGAGTTTGAAGAACGAATACGCCAATCGACGATATTCTCGGTCGCAATAAATTAATCTCTCTCGTATCCCGGATCGGATCGGTGTGACACCTATGTACAGATTTGAACACATTTTCGTGGCGGGCTTGATCGTCCTTCCGCAACGATTCTTCTCCATCAACGTCTACTCCTGTGAAACATGACTCTTCTACTTGCACCTCTTCGATTCGTTCCATTTTCCCATCGTTACGACACGTCTGCTATTGATTCTCTCTTCGATCCAGCAAACATTGTTCCAACGACTCGTTCCTTCTAACGAGGACTCGGCTGCACCCAGGGCGCACCAGCAAGGACTCGGGACCAGCCCGTCGTGGGCCTGCCAGAGAAGCTTCACAAGGACATAGGCAACTCCGGCCTCTTCACTCCTAACGTCAGATCCAACGGCTTGCTCTTCGTCGTGGCTTCCTCTTTCGCCGGGCTGTCGCGATCACAGACGTTGTCGTTCGACCTGTTGTCCTCCTCCGACGATTGGCTAGGTCTGGGAGAGCTTCTGCTCGACCTAACGCTAAGATCGATCGGTTCGTCTTGCTCCACAGCCAGACCACCTGGACTAGGACTCACCAAAAGCAGATCTCCTCCTCTCGGCGAGTGTTGAGACGCCGCAGGTGTTACCAAACCCGGTGGAGAGTAGACCAAGCCTAGATTCTGATGAGGATGATACCCTGTCGTGAGCGTTACCGTAGCGTTGATCTTCCTCGGTGGAAACTCGCGTTCGGAGAGTGTCGGCGACGCGGCGCTGGTCTTGAAGTAGCTCAGCGCTGAGTTGCTCCTGGATTCGGTGTCGTGGCCGTCGCCACCGTCCACGGACGACGCCCCGCTGTCGCTCGGAGTGTCCGCTGCCCTCTTGTAGGTCGGGAGGAATGGTCGGAAGACGTCTGAGGGGCTGGTCGGCACGCAGACGCCGTCTTTTTGAGCGAAGTTCATAGCGAACATCGGGGAACCCGGATGCTGCGGTTGCTGTTGCTTGTAGAAAGGTGGCGGTGTCGTGTCTCTCGGCGGTGTTCCCGGTGGTTGTTGAGGATTACCGCTCACTCTCTCGCGTTCTTTCTGCCAGGCTAGAAGGCGCAGCTGGTTTTGAAGAGCCACGTCGTCCGGATGGGGAGATTTGTTACCTCTTTCGCGCTCTTGTTTCAGCATTGCCACGTGTAACAGGTGAGACTGAAGGGCTAGATCTTCCTGACTAGGTGAAGCACGATCCTTTCCGTCCTTGTACACTCCGCTACCTTGCTGACCTTGAGGCTGAGGCAGGAATCCTGGAAGGAAGCCGGGACCGAACGGCGAGCCTGCTGCCGGAGCCACGTTCTGACCACCGTTCGTCTGCTCCTGAAGGAGGCAGTGGATCTTGAACCAGTTGGAACGACGTCCGTACCTCGAGCCAGACTTCGACATGCCTACCATCAGGCATTTTCGAAGGCGACACGCCTTGCAGGCTGTGCGGTTCTTCTTGTTGATCACGCACACTCCGCCGTTCTTGCATTCCGATATGCTGCCGAGATTGTTGTAGGTTCTGCCGAAGAACGACTGTAACAGAAGAGAGAAGAGGACTGTAAGTTGCGGAAGTGAGTTTGAGTGAGTAGACGAAGAGCTTGAGGAATGATTGTGTGATTTGTTCGATTGTTTGAACACGTTATCGCTTGGATCTCGATGTGGTGGAGAAATTAGGTGAATCAGGATGGCTGTTAGTTAGATTTTCTTTCATTAGGCTAATACAGAGATTTTCAAAAGTGTAATTTCGTTTACGGTAGCCACTTCTTTGTAATTGAATACGAAGCTTCGCTCTTTTAATTGCATCGTACATTGCACACCGTTGGATTAGGGAAATGATTACGATAAAGCAGAAGATTACCAGGCATCGAATCGACGTAATCTACTAATTACACTGCCGGAAATGACTGTGTCTAATCGAGACGTTATTCGATTTAGTAATTTCATGAAATTCCTAAGTCTTACATTCTCATCGTACGTTTTTACCTCCGTCTTGTAAGATATAGTCCGACATTTTTCTCCCCTCGTAAACAGCGCTTAATTACCTGCATTCCTTCAATTTTTATTCTAATTCCCCGTTTTGCGGTGGAAACAGAATAAATCCTAGACAACTGGCAATTATCATTTTTACGATGAGTCGTATTTCTCAATCTGGAATCCCAAACCACATTCCACGAAAGTCTTTTCCCAAAAGCACCGCATATTTAAAAAAAATCTCATTCTGAAGTTCGCTCAAAGGAGTAACGAGGAAATGTAACTTCCATTCAAAGTCTCTTTTCTTCGCGACAGAGGATCGCATTCGCTCCGCATAAAATACACTCGCGAATCTTGTGCCGGATTAAACGTCAGGGCTTAATGTTACGCGTGTCACGAGAATTAGCATGGCACCGTTTAGGAGAGAAGGTCGAGCAACAGAGACAGGATCCGCGAAAAGGGTGATCAGGGTGGCGCGGAAGATTGAGCGCTGTACGCGGCGTGGCTGGTCGTAAAGTTAAACGCCTGTCGGCCGACGATAAAACCGCCTCGAAAGCGGCGCATCGTGAACTAATTTACGACTCGACGATTCCTCTGTCTCGAGCTTAGCCTTGGCTAAACCCTGATCGAGTGTCTTTTCCTCCATTTTTTAGTTCGTCAAATGCAGCGTGTAGCATCTTCCAAATAATTTCGGTGTCCTTCGAAATTTCCTTTTACTCCGGAGTGACAAATTTTAAGCATCTTTTAGATAACTTTTTGAAATACTATAGTGGAAACTTTGAAATCTTTCTTCTCGTTGCAAAGTGGCAATTTGAGGTGCTTTGTTCACCTTAAGAAGACTAAATTTTCAAGAACTTTTAATTTAATTTTTTATTTGTTCAATTTATAAATTTTAATTTTCTGGCCCTTTCTGAAATACTATAATGGAGCCTTTGGAAGTTTTCTTTCATTGCTAAGTGGCAATCCGGGGGTGCTTTGTTCGCCACAAAGTTATTCACCTTAAGAATTCTAAACTTTCACGAAGTTTCAATTTAACTTTAATTCCTTGTTTGTTCATTTATAAATTTGTATCTGTCCTTCCTTGAGTTTTCCAGCATTAATATCTTTCTCGTTCCCACATAAATATCAAAGACCAAACCAAATCGAATTTAAACGGAAAAGCAAACCAGTACCAGTTTCTAAATCTCCTAAATACCGTTCGAAACGATCCTCGATCGTGAGGTGTATACCCAGAGACACGGTCCAAAGGCGGCCATATTTCATCGTGTACCGGAAACGTTCGGATTCTGGTCTCCACCTGACGCGTCCACGTGGGCGGCCCGCTAACGGTTCGAAAACCCAAAAGCTCGTGTATAGCGGTATACTCGTTCGAAATGGGATCGACGAATCATCCTTTCGAAGATATCCACGAACCACATTTCAAAGCCTTCGATACACAACACCGTCGAATTACCCTACTCCAATCCAGTGTCAGAAATGAGTCACTCTATTCCTCCGTACATACCTCTAATCACGCGAGCATAACGCACACCATGGAGGAACGAAGCTTTCTCGTCTGTTTTTGCACAATTAGAATAACTCGACGGTCGAAGTACACGCGTCCAACAGAAGGTCCGCGACGCGACGATCGAGGAGAAACGCGGAATCGAAGGATTCCAGTGTCAAGGAGGCTGACGTACGGCGTTGATTAATCGCTCGGACACGGGGGAACAACGGCGTATACGCTCGACAAACTGGTAATGATCGCGAGATGAAAACGGACCAAGCGGTACCTCGCGAGCACCGCAATCTCTCTCTCGATCTTAGATGAACCGCGCTGTGCTGCGGCAGCGGCGGTGAGCCACGAAACGCGCGCGCTTCGGCTCCCGCGTGTACGCCAGATGATCCTTGGCTGTCACCGCGGACTGTGTGAAAGAGGTCACGATGCCGCGGAGCTCGAGAGACCCGGCCATCCGATCATCGCTTCCGCCTACGAAACCGCTCATTGTCCACGGGAATATGATTTAACGTACGCGCGCCAGGATTATTGTGCGGAGCGAAAGTCGCCGCGGAATATCGTGCTATTGAAGACGACCAAAGGGAATAGTTGCGAGCCTCTTCGAGATTGCCGCGATGTTTCGCATTTGTGTTTTAAGAAATCGAGTGTGTCGTTTGACGAGAAAAATTGTGGAAAAGTGGAAAATGAAGGAAAGAATCTGGGACGGTGAGAAGACTACGGTGATTTCGTTCGTTTCCAATTTCGCAGATAGATGTAATTTTTGTTTTTAAAGTCGCGTCAATAATTGGTGGTTATTTCGTATTTCCCAATTTTTACTTTGGTTCTGACTTTAATTTTCGTTAAGTCTGAGAGTTATTAAGTAGACCGAAAGTAGACCGGCCGAAAGTTTGGAATCACCGAGCATTGCAATTTACACAAAAATTTCCAGAAAAAAGTCAGCGACTTTGAGAATTTTTTATCACTCGAATCGATTGATATGAGATAAATTGATAAAAGTAGAATTGAGATAAACTTCGAATCTGTGAAAAATTAGCAGCAGATTTAATATGGATGAAAAGTGGGAGGTGATTCGAAACTTTTGGCCGATAGTGTATGTAATGTCTTCGTCTTTTTAACGTAGAGGTTGTTTACGATTAGTAAAAGCATTTAATTCGAATAAACGGTAATATCTGTGAAATTTTCATCTAACGTATCACGCGGCATATTGAAGCAGTTCTATTTCCAACTATTCACATATTATTTATGCATACTACAATGTGTCGTATTAAAATAAAAAGTTCGTCTCGGCGCTGTGGACAAATTACGCAGAATTAGTCCGGCACACAACGTGTTAAAGCGACGAGTGGATTCTTGAGTAAACAAATGATAAAAAATTGCAAATGTTACAAGTTTAATCCCAACATCGACACAGTAACCACTGGAACCTAAGCAGGAAAGCGGAACAGCCTGATTCTCACAGCCTGTCGCATACCAAATCCCGAAATCGAACTATTTCAGAGAAACTAGGGTTGTAAATCGAGTTTACAACGGCGATTGCGTGTGTCGCAGCTCGGTCAGCTGTGAGTATCTTGACCGTAGACAGAAAACAAGGTGGACAACGGGATTCGCGTACGAGATTATGTAAGAGGCGGGTTTCGCGGCGTTTCCAAGTCTTTCTTTCTTTTTTTTTTTCACCACGGTCCTGGTCCGGTCGCGAATCACGTACCGCGTGGACGCCAGAAAATCAGAATCGGTGCAGGTAAGAGAGGAAAAAAAGCGAAAAAAGTTCGCGAGTCGGTTGAAACGCGAGAGCCATTTAGGGCTGTTACCGCGACAAATCCGTCATGGACAGGCCGAGATTAGCGCAAATCAGCCGGCACGCCCGGAATCCTGGGTCGATTTGTAACGCCATATAGAAACGCCGCCGGGGAAACCGTTTGTCCGTGATCGTGAACGGCCGCGGCGAGCGCGGGAAAGCTTGACAAATTGTCGATGAAAAATGCAAGAGGTCGTTTCGCGAATGGGGTCGGGAAACGTGTCGGAATATGGTTTGGTGGTCAAGCCAGGGCAATGAGTTTCAATGGGCACGGTGTTTATGGCTGTTCGAGCATGCGTCGGTGTGGAAAGTTGGTGAGTAGAGTTTTGCAGCTTGTGTTGATACGGTGTAAATCGAACTGTGTTGCGT